TGATTTTATATTTTAATAATTTATTATATAATTAAATAATTAAAACAACTTTTAGGTTTGAGATTTAGATTAAATAAGATCTATTCCTAGAGCAACACCTAGGCCTGAGACCTAGATTAATTAAGATCTATTCCCAGAGCAATACTCAGATCTGAGATTTAGATTAAATAAGGTTTATTCCTGAAGCAACATCTAGGCCTAGATCTAGATTAATTAAGGTCTATTCCCGGGGCAACGCCCGGGCCTGAGACCTAGTGTAATAGTAAAGTTGTAATTTATGTCTGAGTTTGCGATCTGAATTTGGTGAATTTAGTATACACTTGCTTTGTGAATTCTCGAAATAGTGTTATTTGAAAGTCTTGTCCCTAAAATAGCATAACTACTTTGAAATAATGCTTTTGTCTGTTCCGAAATAACACTCATCTCATATCACATATTAACATTAGTAATAATTAAACTTGATGCACCTATTTTAATGGCTCAACAGTGAATCCGATTGGTTTGTCTAATTAAACTAACCAACCAGATTCTTTGTTTAGCTATATCGAAATAGTCATATTTAAACTAATGCACAAGTGATCAGAGTAATTGCAGACGCCTGTTGTTTGAAGATTTTATAGTAGTTACAGGATTCATAACGATTATTATCAGACTTTGTCTGTCCCAAATTCTAAATATAAAATGCCTATTTAGACCCAAGTAAAATATGCTATAGTTATTTATTCATGCGGCCATTAAGTTCATTCGCAGAAAAAAAAATTCTAGTTCTCTAAACTGAATGCTCTAATTTAAGTGGATTCCAAAGCAATTTCGGTTTGTTCAACTGACAACAAATACGTTGTAACGAAATGATATCTTTATACAAAAGTTGGACTTAGTTAAATCTGAAATTAGTCGAATTATATGTAAAATTGCTTAAAGAAAAGCTTTTATTATGTGATTTCTTATATGGGGACACTCACAGCAAAAGCAGGGAATAGAACTATACAATACGTATATAGCCTCATCTCCTACTTTTGCTGTGGGCGTGCCCAATATTATACTATTGATTTGTTATTAACTAATATATTCATATATTTGTATTACTTGTGTGTAACGCAATTCATGTGACCGGCGATATCGCCATTGGCGGTAAATAACAAATTTCTTTTTTTATTACTACTTTAAAACTTACCTAAAATTTGGAAAAATAAATAATAAAATTATGATCCTCAACTTCAAAACAAATTAAATAAAATTACATTTAAAACAAAAGATCTATAAATATTAACTAAAATCATTCTTATTATGATATTATTCAAAACTTTAAAATCTTACTTTGATCAAGCAAACCAATAACTTACAAAAATACTTAATATAATATTTTTACTTATATTCTATCAAAAGCTGATCTAATAATTAAATTTAAATACTTAATATTGATGTTATTTTTCTCTAATTAATACTTAAAGATTTCCAAACCTATTACTATCTAGTTAAAACAAATTTTAACAAATCAATTACATGTTAATTATGTTAAGTAATTATTGTCACAGATAAAATTTTTATTTAAAAAACTGAATTTATATACAGTATTTAAAAATCTAAATCAGCTAATATTAATCCATATTATCCAATTCTTGAATTTATTTAAATTACAATAACTTATATAGAGATTGCCTATCTATGCTATAGTTTGCACATTTTCTATAACAATATATTAAAAATAAAATTTTGTAAGATTATAAATAATTTATTCTAATTATCACTACTTATAATTAATAACCAAAAATTTATCGAAAAACCCGTTATATAATATTTAATATGTAGTAGTTTTTAAAATATTATGCTTATAATAATTAATAACTACTAGAAAAACGATAAATTTTACAATATAAAAATTGTAATATGTAATCCTAATGTTTATATTAAAAGTAATCTAATGGTCATTATATCCATTAATATGAATTTTATGATATTTCCATGCACTAGCAACAATACTTTCAATTGTATTATATTTTCTCTTCCAGCCAAGGATTTGTTCAGCATACGTAGACCTAGCAATCAGTATTGCAGGATCACCAACTCTGCGGTCCTCCACTATATCTGGAATTGGATGACCGGTAATGTTTCTAGCAGCATTGATTACTTCTTTGACTGTATATCCTTTTCCAGATCCCAAATTAAATGATTGCGATTTATTTTCTTTTATAAGATACTCTAGCGCCATGATATGTGCGGTGGCAAGATCAGTAACATGTATGTAATCTCGCACACAAGTTCCATCTTTAGTCTCATAATCATTACCAAAAATACTAATACTATCTCTTTGACCAAGTGCTACTTGAAGGATAAGTGGTATTAAATGTGTTTCTGGATCATGATCTTCACCGATATCACCACTTTCATGAGCACCACAGGCGTTAAAGTATCTAAGACAAATATATTTCATCCCATAGGCATTTTCAGACCATGCAAGTAATTTTTCAACGATAAATTTAGTGTCAGCATAAGGGCTTATTGGTTCTGACCGAGCATCATCTGGAATGGGCACTTCTTTTGCATTACCAAAAATTGCAGCACTAGATGAAAAAATGAAATATTTGACATTATATTTTTTCATTGCCTGAAGAAGATAAACAGTTCCAGCCACATTATTCTCGTAATATTCTAAAGGATCAGCTACACTTTCCCCGACAGAAATTGAAGCACAAAGATGCATTACGGCATCTGGTTTATATTTAGAAAATATTTGTTCAAGAGCTATCTTATCACGAATATCGGCTTTTTCGAATTTAATTCCTTTGGGAATTGATTTTATATGACCTTTAGAAAGATTATCCAGGATAATAATTTCGTAACCTTGCAGAGTCGAAAGTTCTCGAACAAGATGAGAACCAATATAACCAGCACCACCACAAACAAGAATTTTCGTAGCATTTAAATTTTGCAAAACCTAAATTATAAAATCAATAAGACATAAATTTTTGAGCCTATATTAAGATTCATAACCTAGACGCTATAATCCACAATATTAACATCTATAAAATTCGAAAAACTCATTTAAAATGCAGATAAATTGATGAAATTTTGAGCTGTCAGGATTCGAACTGTCGGTAATGTAGAAACGCTTGTTGTTTGTTTGAATACTTGGATTTAAACTGTCAAGATTTTGAACTATCAGATATGGATGCCGTGATTATAGCGTCAGGATCACGATACAATTGATAAATTCATACTAGGAAACCTACTGTATCTACTATTGCAGAAATAACAATTCATAGTTAGCCACACGTCTCAAGCAAATGCTAAATAGTTTAATTGCAAATTTCGTTACCTTTTCCTGATGACTTTTCGTTATCTAATAGAAAGGGGACCGTCAAAAAAAGGTCTTTTTGCATGTAATACGCTATCGTGAACAAAACAAGTACGACAGTAGCAAAAAAAGTTATCTTGTTTGATTTTGATAAAATTCTCATACTGACTTGATTTTTTTTGCATTAAGATAGATCTATAAGTTAGAAGTGAAACTTTGTGATTATAAAAAAGCGATAAAAATATTAACATTAAAATTTACGTTTCCTAAAAATGCGATTGTTTTAAATTTTGAATTTGGTGATTTTTTTTATAAGATCAAGTGGATAATTCCAACATTACATCACTGACTGGATTTCTAGGATGTTAAGTGGTTCGTCTGGTCCGATCTAGGTTTGGTCCTTAAAAAGTAGAGATGGGTAATTTACTTATTACGTTAAAAGTTAAATCACACAATGCGACAATTTAACAATTTACTAATAATATATACGTACAACTAATAATATGCTAAATTGTCACATAGGGTGATTTAACTTTACGTGATATGTAAATTACCTTGCCCATCTCTACTAAAAAGCCTGGTCCAGACCCGGCCCGTACCAGTTCATCGTGGACTACTAGCATTGGGGCTTCAATGTACTATGTAAATCATTTATTTTTTAACCATTTTTTAATATTAAGATCTTCGATCGATAAATTATTGCGAAGTACCTTTATCGTTATATATAAAAAAATCAATACCATATTCTTAAATGCACAGATTCTCATCTTCTTTTTGTCCCAAAGTCTTGGAATAAGTTGATTATTCGTTACCGCCATTACAAAATTATAGTGTTAGCTTTTTACATTATATGTGAGAAGTAAAATTTTTTCCAACCTATTTTAATTGCACTTGTTACCTGGATCGTTTGGAAGAATATTTAAATCATTTGGTATTTTTTTTTTAATTAATTGTAAACTTCGCTCTGTAACATTGCTTATTAGAACCTTATATTGACCTGTTCGAAATTTGGATTTATAATTTTGGTTGTAAAGGCTGTACATCTAATTAAAGATCCATATAACAATCAATTCAATCAACCATTAAATTTTTATAAATTATTCATAAGGAGTTGTATACATAAGGGGTCTGGCAAATATAATACAGATGATATAGTTACGATCACTAATTAAGATTTTCCCTCTCTTGCCGGGCTGCGGGACTCAACGCAGGCCTCTACCTGACTGTATATAGGGTAATTTACTTATTACGTAAAGTCAAATCACCCTATGTTAGGGATGTTAATCAGTCCTTTGGGATCGGGTCCTACCCGATCCTTTAAGGGATTGGTCAGGATCCGATCCTTCAATCACATGGTATAATGTGATTTTTTCATAAGACTCTGATCCCGGATCATAATCCCTTTATAAATCCTGGGATCTGCTTTAACAACATTTGGTTAGCGTTAATTAGAGATGCAGGCGAATCGTCCCAATGATTGCCGTAACTAGTTACGACATAGGCTTTAGTTAGTTACGGCTTAAGCCGTAACATTAATCCCTTAATGATGAAATAATTAAATAATGAATAAATGACTTGTTAAAATAATAAAATAATGAATAAATGTCTCACTTTAAATCATCATAAAAAAGTAGTATACTTCAAATAAATCTTTAATCATTAGTTTTTCCTTAAAAATCCTTTCAATAAAGGTGACATGTCTTTAAATTTAATAAGACTTTATTTTAAAATTTTTTTCTTGCATAAATATTTAATAATAATGAATATGTTTTTTAAAGTTAAATCTTAATAATGAAACTCAAATCTTTACAATAAAGTCAGTATGTCTTCAAATTGTTGAACTTACCTGATTTAAATATTTAATAAAGCCATTGTATCTTCAATGTTAAACCTTTCATAACTCAACTAATAATAAAACTGAAAAGTTTTTCTAATTTAATTTTTACAAAAAGATACAGTATAGGATTTATCATTTATTTAGTTAGAACACAAAGATGGTTTTTTCTAGTTCTGTTTGAAGTTTATTTAAAAGTAATATTTTTAAAAAAAAATCAACAAAAAATTAAAAAAAAAACATTCTAGAGACTGTAGAAATTGAATCTAAACCTAGTACAAAAACTATGTCTAAAATTATGTCTAAAACTATGCTAAAATCATGCCTAAAATCATGCCTGAAACTATGTTTAAATTATGCTTTTATTAAGTAATATAAAAGTTTAAAGATGAAAATATATGCACAAAACAATCAATCACCAATTAGAGACTACTTGTTATTAACCTTTAATAGAGACAATTGATATGAAGTATGTAATCAAATCTTCAGCAAGTTGATAGCAGTTATAACAATAAATAGGCATTTTGAATAATTCCATCCCATATATTATTCTATAATAAAACAATACAAATTTAAATAATTAAATCTATTATTCACAACTCTTTCTGATGATTATCTGAATCAAACTTTCCAAAATGCTAAACTATAGAAAAATGATATAGTTAATATATTAAACTTTATGAAAACTTCTCTGAAGCACTGGGCATACATAGTAGGCATTGAAATAGAGTTGAAAAAGAAGTTATCATTTTGTAATAATAATTTAAAAGAACTCTGGAACCATAGAAGAAGTAGTTGGTGAAAGCCAAAAGTCTCTTATAAAGTAAACAACAGTGTTGGATATATTAGTTCTATATAACTGTAAAACATACAAGGAATTCTCAGAAAGGTTAAGCATTTACAAAAGCTATAGTTTGGTTCACCTCATACCTTTTCTTTTTTTCGAGAAAATTTTTGTAAAAAGTGGGCAATTTAGTTTACCCTCTTCAAAAGATCAGCATGTAAAACACCAAAACAGTCAGCAGTATTTACTTCCT